GAAGGCTGAGGTGGGAGAATCACCTGAACCTGGGAGACGGAGGTTGCAGTAAGCCGAGATCACACTACTGCACTCCAGCCTCGGCAACAGAGCGAGACTTTGTCTCCAAATAAAAATAAAAATAAAACAAAATGCAAAACTCAAGGCAAACCTCTCAGGTATACACACAGTTCCCTAACTCCAAAGTACCTGTCTCAGCCAGGCACAGTGGCTCAGACCTGTAATCCCAGCTACTCTGGAGGCTGAGGCAGTGGATCACTTAAGCACAGGAGGCTGAGGCTTTAGTGAACTATGACAGCACCTCTATACTCCAGCATGAGTGACAGAGCAACACTCTGTCTCAAAAAAAATCACCCAGTCCGGCATGGTGGCTCATGCCTGTAATCCCAACACTTTGGAAGCCCGAGGCGGATGGATTACCTGAGGTCAGGAGTTCATGACCAGCCTGGCCAACATGGCAAAACCCCATCTCTACTAAAAATTACCCAGGTGTGGTGGCACATGTCTGTAATTCCAGCTCCTTGGGAGGCTGAGGCAGAAGAATCTCTTGGATCCGGGTGGTGGAGGTTGCAGTGAGCTAAGATGGCTCAATTGCACTGCAGCATGAGTGACAGAGGAAAACTCCAACTCAAAAAAAAAAAAAAAAAAAAACATCCAATGTACCTATTTCCCCAAAGGACAAAAAGAAATGCTCTTAAGGGCTCTGTTACTCAGTCAACAAACATTTACTGAGCACTTACTATATGCCAAGCTAAGTGGTGAGTGCGGTATATATGACAGCTCCTCGTCTTGGATTCAAGGGTCAGGCAGACACCCCACATCAGTCCCACTAATGTGGTGCGCACTAGTGGAGGTGCACACAGACCAGGGACATCTGGCCCCTGTGGCTTCTCTATTACCAGCCCTCACCCACCTCCAGTCTCTGTCTCTTGGGACTATATCCAGGGTGGAGAAAAGAGAGGGGTCAGAGGGTCCCATCTCTGTGCTCTCCACCCACCCCTGCCTTTGCTTCTGCCTCAGAAACAAGCCAATGACCTGGTGGCCACGCTGATGAGGTGCACACCCCACTACATCCGCTGCATCAAACCCAACGAGACCAAGAGGCCCCGAGACTGGGAGGAGAACAGGTGACACCCCCCAACCAATCCAAGATTCATCCCCTCCAGGCCCTGTGGTTACCCCTAGAACTGACCTACACACCTCCCTGACCTCCTGTAAGATGACCCAGGGACTAGCACAACCCCTCCTGCCATCCCCCACCTGTGGAACTGACCCCAGAAGGGACCGTCAGGACAAGATCCCTCCCCCTAGTCCCCAGGCTGAGCCCTGAAGCACCCCCAGAGAACTCACCCCCCAAACTTTCCTCAGCATGAATCCAGATCCCCCCAGACCCCCCAACTCCAGCACCTCCCACCCACTCCCAGGACTGGTGACTCCCCACCCCGAGGGGACTCAGCCTACCCTCCCCACCAGGGTCAAGCACCAGGTGGAATACCTGGGCCTGAAGGAGAACATCAGGGTGCGCAGAGCCGGCTTTGCCTACCGCCGCCAATTCGCCAAGTTCCTGCAGAGGTGAGGAGCCCCCCCACTCTCACCCTCACCATCACCCCCATCAGAACGCCCGGCCGGGCCTGTCTGTTACGAGCACTTCCACATCCCAGCCCTCCGCCCCCAGGTATGCCATTCTGACCCCTGAGACGTGGCCGCGGTGGCGTGGGGACGAACGCCAGGGCGTCCAGCATCTGCTTCGGGCGGTCAACATGGAGCCCGACCAGTACCAGATGGGGAGCACTAAGGTCTTTGTCAAGAACCCAGAGTCGGTGAGTGTTTGAGGGACAGGCAGAGAAGGAGGGAGAGCGGAACAGAGAGAAAGGTATAGAGAGGGACTGAGAGAGACAGGGAGAGAGAGATGGAGGGAGACAGAGATTGAGAGAAAGATTGAGAGACTGAGAAACAGATTGAGAGAGAGAGATTGACAGAGAAATTGAGAGAAAGATTGAGAGAGAAATTGGGAAAGCAATGGGAGATTAATAGACTGAAAGTAAGCGACTGAGCGAGAGATTAAGAAAGACTGCGATCACCAGGCACGGTGGCTCACGCCTGTAATCCCGGCACTTTGGGAGGCCAAGGCAGGCGGATCACGAGGTCAGGAAATCGAGACCATCCTGGCTAACACGGTGAAACTCCGTCTCTACTAAAAAGACAAAAAAATATTTAGCTGGGCGTGGTGGTAGGCACCTGTGGTCCCAGCTACTCGGGAGGCTGAGGCAGGAGAATGGCGTGAACCCAGGAGGTGGAGCTTGCAGTGAGCCGAGATTGCGCCACTGCACTCCAGCCTGGGCGAAAGAGCGAGACTCCGTCTCAAAAAAAAAAAAAAAAAGAAAGACTGTGATTGAGAGATTGAGAGAAAGAGACCAAGAGAGACACTCTGGAAGAAACAGACCAAAAAATTTGACATAGAACAGAAAAAAGGCAACAAAAAAAAACTAGCACCAGGTCAGGTGTGGTAGTTCATGCCTATAATATCAGTGCTTTGGGAGGCTGAGGCAGGAGGATGGTTTGAAGTCAGGAGTTCGAGATCAGCCTGGGAAACACAGTGAGACCCTGGCTCTACAAAAGACAAAAAGAAAAAGGAAAAAAGAAAAATAACTATCACCAGCAAAGACTATATAAAGTAAAATTTAATTTAGACAAAAATTTCAGTCTATAGATTTAGATTTGGAGAAGATGGACAGGGTAGAAATAAGGAAATTCACAACGGCAGATGTTTAGTGGTACAATCTTATAAGAACATCAGCAACAAAGACAGACTGAATATTTATAAAAGAAAGAAAATAATCCTGATGAAAATAATTTTACTGGCCAGGCGCAGTGGCTCACACCTGTAATCCCAGCTATTTGGGAGGCTGAGGCAGGTGGATCATTTGAGGTCAGGAATTCGAGACCAGCCTGGCCAACATGGTGAAACCCCTTCTCTATTAAAATTACAAAAATTAGCCAGGTGTGGTGGTGCACACCTGTAATCCCAGCTACTCAGGAGGCTGAGCAGAAGAATCACTTTAACCCAGGAAGCGGAAGTTGCAGCGAGCCAAGATCATGCCACTGCACTCTAGCCTGGTCAACAGTAGTTTAATTTTAGTAAAATAAGCCAGGCGCGGTGGCTCACACCTGTAATCTCAACACTTTGGGAAGCCGAGGCAGGTGGATCACAAGGTCAGGAGTTCAAGACCAGCCTGATCAACATGGCGAAACCCTGTCTCTACTACAAATACAAAAAATTAGCCGAGTGTGGTGGTATGCACCTGTAATCCCAGCAACTCAGGAGCCTGAGGCAGGAGAATCACTTGAACCCAGGAAGCAGAGGTTGCAGTGAGCTGAGATCGCACCACTACACTCTAGTCTGGGCAACAGAGTGAGACTCCAATATCAAAAAAAGTAAAAAATTTAGTAAAATGAAAATAGAAGAAAAGGCCAGGTGCAGTGGCTCACAACTGTAATCCCAGCACTTTGGGAGGCCAAGGTGGTGGATCACCTGAGGTTAGGAGTTCGAGACCAGCCTGCTCAACATGGGGAAACACCATCTCTACTAAAAATACAAAATAAGCCGGGCATGGTAACGTGCCTGTAATCCCAGCTACCTGGGAGGCTAAGGCAGGAGAATTGCTCAAACCTGGGAGGCAGAGGTTGCAGTGAGCTAAGATCGCGCCACTGCACTCCAGCCTGGGGGACAAAGTGAGACTCCGAGAAAAAAAAGAAAGAAAAGAAAGGGAAAATAGAAGAAAACTAGCCAACAGTTTAACTGTGCTACATTTAAAAAGTAATCAAGAAATTAAATTAGCTTCATGGAGTTGGAGCCTTTCTCAACCAAAAACGTATTTTATGTTGGGATCTTTTTTTTTTTTTTTTTTTAGACAGTCTCACTCTGCCACCCAGGCTAAAGTGGAATGGTGCGATCTTGGCTCACTGCAACCTCCACCTTCCTGGTTCAAGCAATTCTCCTGCCTCAGCCTCCCAAGTAGCTGGGATTACAGGCGCCTACCATCATACCCGGCTAATTTTTGTGTTTTTAGTAGAGATGGGTTTTCACCGTGTTGGCCAGGCTGGTCTCCCGACCTCAAGTGATCCACCCACCTCAGCCTACCAAAGTGCTGAGATTATAGGCATGAGCCACTGCGTCCGGCCCCTATTTTTATTTTCTTATGAACATGATTTGGGCCATCCTCAAACATTTTATCTGGTTGTTGGCCTTTGTGGCCCAGCATCCTAAGTATATTACAATAGTTTGCTGGGACGGCTGAAACAAAGTACCACAAACTCCATGGCTTAACACAACAGCAGTTTATTCTCTCACAGTTCTGCAGGTCAGAAGTCCAAAATCAAGGTGCTGGGATGGCCATACTCTCTAAAGGCTTTAAAGAAGAATCTGAGGCTGGGCATGCTGGCTCATGCCTGTAATCCCAGCACTTTGGGAGGCCAAGGTGGGCGGATCATGAGGTCAGGAGATTGAGACCATCCTAGCTAACACGATGAAACCCGTCTCTACTAAAAAAATACAAAAAATTTAGCCAGGCGTGGTGGCGGGCGCCTGTAGTCCCAGTTACTCAGGAGGCTGAGGCAGGAGAATGGCGTGAACCCAGGAGATGGAACTTGCAGTGAGCCAAGATCACGCCACTGCACTCCAGTCTGGGCAACAGAGCAAGACTCCATCTCAAAAAAAAAAAAAAAAAAAAAAAAAAGGAGGAGGAGGAGGGGGAAGGGGAGGGGGAGGAGAAGGAGACGAAGAAGAATCTGAAGCTGGGCACGCTGGCTCACGCCTGTAATCCCAGCACTTTGGGAGGTCAAGGCTGGTGCACTGCTTGAGCCCAGGAGTTCCAGACCAGCCTGGGCAACATGGCAAAACCCCATCTCTACCAAAAAAAATAAATAAATAAAAATACAAGAATTAGCCAGGCATGGTGGTGTGTGCCTTTTAGTCCCAGCTACTTGAGCCGCTGAGGTAGGAGGATCCCTAGAGGCTGAGAGCCGAGATCACACCACTGCACTCCAGCCTGGGCAACAGAGACCCTGTCTCTAAAAAATGAAAACGACTTTGGTCAGCAGAGCGGGCAGCAAGGCTCTTAGCAGCAATGTGCTATCTATGGACTTGTGAAAGCACTCTGGGTGAAGTGCTAATTTTCCTAAAGCCCAATTTTGTGTGTGTGTGTGTGTGTGTGTATGTGTGTGTATATATGTGTGTATAGATATAGATATATAGATTTTTTGTTTCTTTCCTGAGACAGGGTCTCACTCTGTCTCTCAGGCTGAAGTGCAGTGGCACCATCACAGCTCCCAGCAGCCTCAACCTCCTGGGCTCAAACAATCCTCCCACCTCAGCCTCCGGAGTAGCTGGGACTACATATGCATGCCACCACCCTTGGCTAATTTTTGTTTATTTTTTGTACACACGGGTTCTTTCTATGTTGCCCAGGCTGGTCTTGAACTCCTGGGCTCAACGACACTCCCATCTTAGCCTCCAAAAGTGTTGGGATTACAGGCATGAGCCTTCACACCCGGCCTATATTTGCATTATTTCCCATCTTCACTAATTGGCAATATTGTCCCTTTGATCACAGTTTCTCTTTGAATTAGGATGTTTCTCAAGCATCTGCCCTATTCCAGTTAATCGTTCTATTCTCTGACAGGCATGCTACTGTTTTTATTACTATAGATTTACAGCATTTTAATATCCAGTGAGTTCCTCATCTTGTTCACCTGCTATTATTCCAAATGAGTAGACATTCCTCTCAGAGTTTGCACTTTCACTTGCTGTAATGTAACTCATTCTCTAAGTCCCCTCTGGGCCTAGACTCTTAAAACACAAAACCTTTTCTCTGCTTTCTGCAAAAGCTTCCTTTCTGGGCCTGCCACAGATGGTTGTGCAGGTTGTACACTGCCCAACCACACAGTTGCCAGTCACATCACAGTCCTACAAATCAGATTTTCCTTTTTTTTTTTTTTTTTTTTTCAGATGGAGTTTCATTCTTTCCTTTTACTGGGGGGTGGAGGAGCGGGGGACTGAGTCTCGCTCTGTTGCCCAGGCTGGAATGCAGTGGCACAATCTCCGCTCACTGCAACCGCCACCTCCCAGGTTCAAGTGATTCTCCTGCCTCAGCCTCCCAAGTAGCTGGGATGACAGGCATGTGCCAGCACAGCTGGCTCATTTTTACGTTACTAGTAGAGATGGGGTTTCACCATGTTGGCCAGGCTGGTCTCAAACTCTTGACCTCAGGTGATCCGCCCACCTCGGCCTCCCAAAGTGCTGGGATTACAGGCGTGAGCCACTGCGCCTGGCCAGATTTTCATATTTACTGTATTTTATTGGTTTTCCAAGATGCACACTGGTTCCTATTTTTACCATCTCTGACACGGGGGTGTACCTCAAAGATGGTATACACTATCTATAGTAACAGTGTGAGAAACCATGATGTTATACTGTTTCTGGCAAGAGCACACAGGTAGTAAGTGGCACAGCTGTGATCTGAAGCTAGTGACTCACTGTTATCATGTAATGCAGAAGTGTGTACCCCACATGGGGAGAGACCCGCGGGGAGGTCCAGTCATTTGGAGGAAGATAAAAAATTTTGCCAGCCTGGGCAACGTGGCAAGACCACATCACTACAAAATTAGCTGGGCATGGTGGCTCACAGCTGTAGTCCCAGCTACTCAGGAGGCAGAGGTGGAAGGATCACTTGAACCCAAGAGGTTGAAGCTGCAGTGAGCTGTGACTGCCCCACTACACTCGTCTGGACGACAGAGCGAGACCCTGTCTTTTATTTTCTTTTTTTGAGATGAAGTTTTGCTCTTGTTGCCCAGGCTGGAGTGCAATGGCACGATCTCAGCTCACTGCAACCTCCACCTCCCGGGTTCAAGTGATTCTCCTGCCTCAGCCTCCTGAGTAGCTGGGTTTACAGGCACG